ATAACAATGACTGCATGAACAGACGTTGGTGAACCATATGAAATTTGTTTTCTTTTTTTGTGTGTACGTGTGAGCGGGAGAAACAAGGGGTTTTAAAGCATTGCTTTTTCTTCTTTTTATGAGTGTTCTTCTTGGGTGGAGTACACACTGGTAAATGATCTTTTTCTTCTTGCAACACGTGCCACGCTGCACCTTGAACAATTACTGTTGAGGCTTTGGAACCACTGGGAGCAGCTGCTGGAGTGCGTGTGTTTTTTTTTCTTTTCTTTTCTACTTTTATGGGTAATAATATAATGTAGTGATGTGGCGTGGAGTGTCTACAGCAGTTCTGGGTGTTTCGTACTCCGCCCTCACCATTCTCTGTTATTCATTTCTTTTTGATTTTCTTCTTGTTATTGGTTATGTTGTGGCCTGTGATCTTGCCCACTGGTTGGTGCAGTGGAATACTCTCTCTTTCCTTTTTTTCTCTGCTTAGTTTCTTTCTCTGTAAGGTTCCCTTAGTGTATGCTGTTAGTGATGACACTCAATCGCTGTATCCTAACAAAACGCCTGATCCCATTGATGTTGCACTCTGTGCGTTTCTGACACAACCCCCTCCCACCGCCTGTGNTTTTATCGTATGTTAATCTTTTCCATTATGGAAAAAGAAAAAAAAATGAGGCAAATAAATAAATAGAGTCATTTCTCTATTTCATATATGTCTCTTGATGGAATGGAAGAAGTTTTTTTCAATTGTTTAATGTTTCTTTCCCATCTCTGTTTTCTTTTTTTTTCTTTTCTGTGTTTCTGTAAATGGGAGCTATTTTCCTGTGAAAGAAAAATGGGCTGTTCCTCCAGTTCTCCGGATACTCATCGCAAGGAGGGGTCCCAACGGGATTTTCAGTTCTCATATCATCCACAACCACCAAAAGGTTTATTGTTGGAGAAACACACAGTAGATCATGTCTACGATGGCGATACACTAACAATAGAAAATCGTATCTCTGTTCGTCTTTTGGGTATTGACGCCCCGGAGATTAGCGAGAATGAACCGTATGCAAAAGAGAGTCGTGATTACTGCCGTAAACTCTGTCCACGTGGAGGGACTGTACTGTTGGGGTTTTCAGAAAAAAATGAGCGACATGATAAATATGGACGAACATTGGCTTACGTGTATGTTTACCATCCCAGCAAGAGTGGATATATTTGTGTGAATATGGCCCTTGTGGAGATGGGACTGGCACGTTTATATAAATTAAGACGTGTAAAAGATGAAAACACAAATGCCATGCGTGAAGCTCAAAAGAAGGCTCGACGTGAAAAGCGCAAAATTTGGAAAAAAGTAAATGAGGACAATATTGTTGTTATTACGCATAATGGTGAAGCCTTTCATCGTGTTGGTGCGTCTTGTGTAGTCAACGCATCGAAAGTAACGGTGGGGGAGGCATTGGATCAGTTATATGCACCGTGTCGGACCTGTAAACCTCTCGGGTGAGAAGAAAACAAAAAGGATATACATATATAGGAGGAATATATACATATATATATATTTGAGAGAAATTTGAAATTCTCTGTTTTCTATTGATGGACTGAAAAGTCGGAACAAAGAGTTTGTCCACGTCTTTTTAAAAGTATTATTTCTTTATTGGTCTTTTTTTTTTTATGCATC